TTCTCCTGCTGTGAATACATGGAGGATTCTTTGTTTTCCTGGGTAGGGGTTATGTGGCAGCAGCTATCCATATGGGGGTCGCAGGGGGGATAGCCCTAGCATTCGACAGTATAGTGACTGATTCTGTGAATATCGTTCATATTTTAACGCAGGTTTAAATGTGAATCACATACACAGAATCATTAGATTGTTGCTATTTGGGGATTTCCACACCCTGATTTATATATATTTGGAGAGGAATTCATTAATACCAAAATCATTTTGATCCATTATGCAGAACTGTTGTATAAAGATACCTACCCTGCATTTTTCTTGATACCTTTGATCACTGATGCCTTTCTCTGCTATTGGAGCCAAGAATGTATGTTTTTTTTTTTTTTTTTTTGGGGGGGGGGAAGGTTCTGTGACATAATTCCTACATATGTGTAATAGAGGGTGAGAGGAATCCACTGATACAAAAATCGTAACCATCAGTGATAGAAAGATATTGTGAAATATTACCTGTTAGCCTTATGATTAGTCCTAAGTGCCTGACTAGGCACCAGGAAGAAATAATGGTACAAGTTACTGAGAGCGACGTGTGGAGATTGAGGGAAATGGATAACAACATCTTATAGTGCATAAGAAATAAAAGAAGAAACAACATAATTTAAGCTGCGTATTTATCATATTTATTGGCAAATGAGATGACGTAAATGTCATCTTCATATCACCACTTGATGACTAAGTCCACACACAGCCAGAATTCTTAATGTCTGTTTTCTATAGCATGGCACAACATATTTATAAATGGGGGTTGGGGCACAGGGGGCTACCCCCTGTCTAGGGAATAAATATAAGTTTGGAAATGTGAGGTTAGATGTTTGGGTGGTATTATTGGAAAAAGGGGTCACCATTGAATCGACCAAAACTAACCTTATAGCCATGAAGATATTTAATTAATAATCACTTTTCATTAGATGAAGTTATATAATTTTCAATATAAATAAAGAAAATAATAAAACGAGGAGGGAATACTGACCAAATTCTCCACTGCTCATATGCGGGGTCTCTCATACACGTACTGTTCCTGTTATCTTGCCTGTGACATCACGGCCAGTGTCACGATTTCATTAGTCAATTGTTTGGCAGTTAATTTAATAGCCAATGGGGAAAGAATTCATGAGGGAAACAGCCAATGAATGAACATTAGCTAAAATAGAAACAATGAAATTCAATTTTCAAATTAGTCTTGCCATGACTTCCATGTGTGTAGGATGTTGAATCAAACTATTCCAAGCTATAAAAAATCATTCTGAAGGCGATGAGGCTAGCTTGAAACTATTACGTGAACAAGGAGTGCAACCCTCTGAAATGCTCCCGCAGGCCTCTCCAGCGCTCCCGCTCCCGCAATCCACTCCACTGATTTTGAGGTCCATCACCCCAGCCCCTCCTCTCCATAGGTATGTTTTAGGATTATTTTCACTGAAGTGACTAGATGTACAGTGCTTCACATGCATACGAACAGCATGTGGAAGCACCTGATGCCGACTTTGTCCAACGCTCTCTCCTGCTGTGAATACATTGTCCGAAGCAACCGACTTTTTTTTCTTGCCGGCGCTCTCTCCTGCTGTGAATACATAGTGCATTATTTGTTTTCCTGGACAAGGGTGGGGGGCAGCAGCCCCCCAACAGGGGGGGCTGCCGCCTCCCACCCCTGCACAGCCCCCTGCAGTGTGTAATTTTCGTAATTATGACCGACATACGGGATTGCCCGATGCCGAATATGTCCTATGCTTTTTCCTGACGTGAATACGTGGTGGATTCTTTGTTTTTCTGGGTGGGGGTTGGGGGCAGCAGCTCCCCTATGGGTTTATGTAGGGGGCTGTGCCCCCTGCATTAAAGAACATAGTGACTAAATCAGTACCTTGATTACAGCAGAGAACGAGAATTCCATAGTGCACATGCATGATATCAAGAGTGGTGCGACTCTGGTATGGAAATATAGACATTTCCGATGGAAACAAACCAGAATCAAGTGAACCAAAACAATGGAAATCGAACGAATCTAGTTCCGTCCCGAAAAGCGTTGGTGACGACGTCTTTTTCCAAATTTAACGTTTGGGTTGCATGGTACCTCGGTTTTAGGACTTCGTCTACGTCGCTCTCGGTAACAATTACAGAAATAACCTTTTATAAATACACATATAAGGATAAATTCTATACTGGTTATCCAACAAGGCGTCAACAAATGAAACAAGCGATAAATCCCAAAAGTATGCAACTGCATAAAAAAAAAAAAAAAATACTATCAAGACAATATATCACATATGCCTGAAAATAAGTCTAAGTTACATAACTAACCCTAGAGTTAATCAGTTGGGCTTGACTTCCCCGCAACTGTAGACCAAAGCTCCGCCTAGCAACACTGATTGCGGACCAGCTGAGTCTTCCGGCCATCTTTTACCCTCTGGCACAGCAGACGAAGCACGAATGGATTGCAAGCGAGTGTAAACAGGGA